TTTTGGCTCATATATTTGTGTGAGCTATACGATCAGTTTCGCCACTTTTATTCTAAAACAACGAATATGTTATATAGATATGTGATACTTTCCACCGATATACTATGAGAACTGGGCTACATATGGCTGAAAGTTGCACGACAAAATATTAAAACGTTCTTGAGATATTAAGAAAACAAGGCTATTTTCTAGGTGTACGATCTATTTTGACGGCCAATGTATACCAGACACTACAGTAAAACAAAGGCTTTTATCTCGAAGACTACAATTCAAATTATTAATTAGCTGTTGATTCTTGCACAATAGAGATCAAATTAAGTGTAAATCTAAATGATCAATAAGGCACTGTATTATTGATGGTCAATGTAACAAACAAGCTTTCTAGAGATCTCTCGAAGTTAAGTTTTCTAATAATTAAAAAAGGAACTATCGAATATGAAAGAATCTTCTCTGTAGTTGATATAGGCTCTATAGTCGACGTTGTTCATAGGTCACCCATTATATCTCATTTCAGCCGAGACAGCAAAATTTAGAATATGTATGTTTAGGATGTGACATTTTGTAAGACGTAACTCAACATGTGCCGTTCGAATTGGCTTATTTCTTTATTGTCACACAATGGATCTTCAAAAGTCAGAAAACGACTGTTACACTATGGTTGTTTTTGCCAGCTTGGCTTCTCTTGTGCTTTGATGCACCGATTGTAACATCCACAGTCGGGTGGACAGCATTTTTCGTCCGAGGCACATTGACTATCACTTGTGCAACAGTTTCGGCTGTTCGCACACTTCTCAAAGGACCAGACAGATGGACAGGCAATACCGCATGGCACGAAATGGAAAGGACAATAGCCTAGAAGTAACCACTTTTTATTTTGTTTTGGAATATGAAGGAACTCACCAGAATGTGCCTGCTGCAATTGCCTCTTTTTAAGTGCCTCAGTGTCAAAACAGCAGAGAACAAGTAGCAAGAGCAAAACGAGAGAGCGCATTGTTAAAGTGATGTGATTGTGCATGAAATGTGATATGAAGAATAAGTGTGATTCTGTCAATAGACAAACAGATATACAGCTGTCCTTTTTCTCATTCCTTTCTAGCACTATATCGAGTGTATTTCATCTTATACATATGATATGTTTTGCTTGTTGCTGTTCGGTAATGTATTCATCGTTTCTATGTGTACAGTCCATCTTCGTGTCACATAATCTCGAACATGATATACACCATAGGAATAGTATCATTCTAATAATAAAATCGAGCCGTTTTATCTTTATAATCTATTTGCTTGACAAAATCGACGTTCATCATTTGCTTTGACATCAGGTAAATAGATAAGCAGATACGTTGAGGTGAAACACATAGATGATAACGAGATGGACATTTGATTAGTGGTGATGAATCAAAACCGACTTCAATTGTTTCATTGAAACAATTCCAAATACCATCTCGTATATAAGTATTCTTGCGTTGTCAATAATTACATCCACTTTCATCGGTTTCATTTCGACCACCAATTATCACAAATAATCAGAAACGAGGCATGCTTTCTCGTGTAATCAATATCAGATACTTCATCATCACTCATTTCATATGCATCGTATTCATAGTTATCATCCGCTGCTCGGTATCTATTGTCAATTGCAGTTTTGCCGATACTCTTAGTCACTGGTAAGATAACTTGGCTTTGATAAACTTTTCGACTTTGTTGAAATCTAGCTAATAAAAAAAATTATTTTTTTTTATTCAAGGCTTTATTCATGGTTTTTCATCCTTTACTAATTTGTTTTAAAATTTCTTTTGATGCTTCTTTCCCATCTTTATTCTCTGAGTTTTCCTAATGACAAAACATTTTTTATCATTAACTGAAGAAGAAATTTTGCTTCCATGCTTCGTTTATATGTTGATGATATGTTATAAGCCACAGAAGATCATAATGAGTTGATGATGAACCACCTAAATTTTGTTTCTATTCGTTCAATAGAATCAATTAAAGATTTGCCAATTTCAAATCTATATGCCATAACATATTGATCTTGTGTTTGTTTCACTAATCGGTGTAATTGAGTAGGAGCAAGTGTTCTGATATGTCGCTGTCGATGACTAAATATTTTCATTGAAATATTTTTCAAAGAAAATGAATCAAATACATTTAATTAATTATATTGTAAAACAAAATCGCTGTGGAATTGATCAACAGTAATAGAACATTGAAAAGAATTTTTAAACTTTTCTATCTTATAATTCTACATAAAATATAAAAAATATCTAAATAATAGATCATTCTCAATTTTACATGGATGTTTAACAAATAAATATCATTAAGTATGAAATATTTGTTTTGGAGGAGAAGATTAAATGACAAAAAATTTATTGGATAATGAGCGCATCCATTATTGAGGAAGAAAATTTTTATTCAGACAGATGTCCTTTATTCAAGAAAGATATTCTAACATATATTCTTCGACATATGATGCTAATAAAAATTTGATCGAAGCCACTTTGTTTTTTTATGTTTTCTTTTTGTCAACGTCCATGTGTTTTCAACAGGTTGAGTATGGACCTGGTGTTGGGGTCGACGAAATTGATGGAATGATTGGCCGTGCAGTGAATATACTCGAGATTATTTTGTAGGGCTTGATAGGCTCTCCATTCATCGGAATGGATTGTTGTGCCTAGAAAGAAAATTCAGAGTATTCGATAAATTGTCAATTGCATCAATATTACCTTAAAGTGCCAGCATCACGCCGATCTGTAGGGACTAAGAAACATTTTTTTTGTATTTATATGTATTTGATTGAATTTTGAATTAAATCAGTAAGAAAAATATATGCATAACCTTATGAGAAAATAATGTAGTGTTAAAAACTTGGATTGATACATATTTGTTTACACGAAGAAGTGTTCTACAGAAATACGGTGCAGGCAATTCAAACACTCTATATGGGAAAAAAAGAGTATAGTGATTCTTCTAAAAGCAGACTAATTCGTAACGTTTTTTGCAAGCGGCAATCAAAGAAAATTCGGATAAAACTTACAATTTGGAATACCATTGAAAAAATGAGCCATTTTCATATGTGCATGAATATGTTTTTTATTTGTCCTGTAGAAGGCTTCCAAATATTATTTCCTAATTCTCTAAGAAACATCGATTGGAAAAACTAAATTTTTGATGTTGTTAAAATAATATGTAAATGTATAATATTTTGAACTCAAATGACGTCTATGAAATGGTGTCTCGTTGAACCGTAAAAGAATCAAGTCTTTTCAGTTTAAAGCGTACGAGCTCATTTAATCCTACGGTTAGTGTTCGAGTGTGTAGAAAAAAGTTAAGTATCGTTTTCTTAAAATAATTTTCTTGAGAACTGGTCGCAAAGCGCTGTAAAATGAACTAGTCTTTGATAGTCTGTTTTATATTTAAGTATTTTTTATCAAACTCTTACCGTTGCTTCCCTTCGATTCGATTTTAGTAAAGTTAGCTTTTGGTTCCACTGGAATGAAAATTCGATGACAACCTATTTCAGAAGGGTGTGTGTCGATGCGGATGTGGATGTGAATCATATTCTGATAACCACACTCAGACCCCACCCACACCCCACAATAAAATGATCCTTTGTTCTATGTTAAGAATGAATAATGAATCAAAGAATAACCTTTCATATTTGTTGTATATTTAAATCGATAATTCTCTTAGGACGAGGATGTGGGTGAAGAGATGACCGGCAACCAGGTCCAGACCCACACCCCACACCCTTAAATCTCTGATAAAATAATGCGCCAGATGTATAATCACGTTTTTCATATATATGCTATCTCATAAGAGATTAACAACATATGAACAGAACTTTCTAAAAATGTCAACCGATATTCTCAGCTACACTCTAAAAAAAGGATATTCCCGGAAACCGGCTAAAAACGGTTTCCGAGAATACCTTTTTTTTCAGAGTGTAGTATCCATATGTTTCTTAGTTAAGTTTTTTCTCACCTGTTATTTAGTTTGTCTCGATAATAAATCTTATATATTTATCAGTACATAAACAAATTGAAGAAAGCCTAAGATGTATCGTCAATCGATAGCCATCATGTGGTTCGTGTGAATTATCTATTGGTTTGGAAGTTCTTTGATTTAATAACACGGTTATTTATCTATAATCTAGAAAAAGCAATTGTTTATTATAGAAGAATAGTAAACGATGGAGAAACATATTTCTGTTTTTAATATATTTGCGTTAAATAATTACAATCAGATAATGAAAATTACTTTTATCCAGATGTACGTAGATAAAAAAAAAAGTTTTATGACAGTAGGAAGTGTACGATAAAAAAGATCTAAGTTCAAAAGAAAAAAAACTGCTAACATTCTGGTATGTATCCATTAATGTAGTCATTTCTTTATTTGAGAAGTTATTATTTTATTGGCGTATAAACATGAATCTCTCTCTTTAAATAGGACAAAAGGTACATATTTGATTCGACAGATTTAACGAATATGCAACCACAAAATAATTATTTGTCTTAATATTTATTTCATAATATCTGTCATAATTTTGAAAAAATAAATTATTTTTAATAAAAAGACCAGAATAGAACAGGAAAAAGAGGATGAAATGAGGATTAATTTGTATCTCATATTTATCTCATCAATATGAACAGATTGTTCGTAGAAGGACGACATCTTCAATAATGAAATAATCAGTGATACTCTGACTTTGTTCCTCCACGTTTCTTTCGTCTCCCATATTCTAAAAAGAAGTTTTGACTAATTAATGAATGAACATGAAGTGCATCCATATTCTTTTTTTTTCATTTTAGAGTTAAATACTCATACTTCTTCTTTCGCTTAGTCACCTTTTTTCTCTGGTATTTATAGATTCGTCTTTATTTCATCAAGAATTATTTATTCTTTGATATTCATTTTGATTTCATGAAGAATGACTTCTCATTTCATATTACATATATATTATTCTATTAAATTAAAAAATTTTCGTGTTTATTTTTATTGAGATGACTGATTTAAATTCATCGGTAAGTGAAAAAGTTTCTATGATTTTTCTAAACAACTTTAATTAACCAGTAAATTAAAGAGTAAAAAGAGAAATGTGTAAAAAGTTCGTTATAATCAGGAACATGTGCTCTAGTTGTTTGCTTTATTTTAGTCTAGTTCAGAAGAGCAACAAATTATTTCAAATAGAATATATAAAGTGCCCAAATTTGTATGTAATGAAAGAGCATTTTCCAATAATCAAACCAACTCCATTGAAAAAACATATACGTATATTTACGATGGATTAAATTGTAAAATATCTTTACCTAAAATTCCAAATGAACATCAAATAACATCAACTTTATTATCTATCAGACATCTAGTTCTTCGAATTGCAGTGTTTTACGAACGTAAAACAACAACAGAAATTATCTTTGGCAGTGATTGTTTGATAACTAATAAGCTTTTGTTAATATCTGGCCATACATTTGATCCAATACAATGGGGTACTGATAAAGTATCTTATTCTAAAATATTAGTGGCTTTTTGTGATCCTGCTCCTGATACAGTTTTTTCGTTTCTAAATCCTCATCAAACTGTATATCAAGCTAAAATAATTCAACGTGGTATAGTAGAGGACCACATTACTGATTATACTGAAATCAAGGATAATTATACAGATCTTGCTTTACTTGAATTAGATAATGAAGTAGCAAATGTAACAATAGATCAATATTTTGATCCCAAATTCGATTTAAAATCATCAAAACTAGTTGATGCTCCACTAAATTCAAAACTATATCTCGTTGGATACAATGGGGAATTAATTGATCAAGATGAATTAAAACCTTACCAATATTTGAAAGATTTCAATGATTTAACAATCGAAAAGCTGAATCTTTATCATCATGTTAATTACAAATCTATTTCAATAGGAAATCTTATAAAAGAAGCATGTGAAAATGATCAATATTCTTTACATAACTGTAGCACCTTACCTGGTTCTAGTGGTTCATTTATATTGGACTGCTACGGAAGTTTAGCCGGTGTTCATATTGGTGTAAATAACTCTCGAAAAGGAAGAGAAAATGATATCTTTTTTAATAAAAAAGCATATAATAAATATGTTTCAATTAAATCAAATGAATTTCGAACATTTATTCTTGAAACAGTTTTACCAAATATCAAACATGACGAATTAATAAAAAAATGACTATTTGATTCTAAATGAAATATGTATTTGTATACAGTCTTGTTTTTGTTTTTGTTTTGTTTTTCTTTATATTACCTGGTTACATATTGTATATCTGTCCTTTTCGTATTGATCATACCTATTTTAATTGATTATTTACAACTGCTGTTCATTCAATATTCTTCAACCAAGTACCAGTAAGTTTTATTACCAACAGACTCATTTAATTTAATATTTATTTTTTAGTTCACCATTATCATTTATTTTCAAAAGTAATTGTTGATGTTTTTCATTCAAATGATTTTGGTGAATTTCAAGGTTCATTAACGTATGATTTACGACAATATAATCGATGGAGAATGCTAATCGTTGGTGCACCACTAGGAGCGGAAGTTTGGGTATAGTTTAATTCGAATAAACAGCACGAGTGAATTAAAATACTGGAAACTCAATGTTGATTTATATAAGTATTCTTTAAAGTAAAATCTCGTTGAAGATCATTTGTACAGGAATTACAGTGCCGGACAAAAGTGTGATATCACTTTTTTGTTTTGAGTCATACATTTAAACTACTCAATATTATTAGATTTTTTTCTTAGTCTTGAATAGTAGGGATCGAGTACGATCTATATTTATCTTTAATAGGGAAAACTGTTGAATATAAAATACATTAACAAAAAACGAAGTTCAATGCTCAGAAAAAATAACATAAAAAACTACGAAATGATATTGTTGTTATAAATATCAGTAGTTTGAGTACTTCAAAAATCGAATAACATTCTTTCTTTGATATTCTTACATGGTTCCATAGAACTTGTCGAGCTCTACAAAATTGTCTATATTGAAAAATTTTTAAACCTTTTTTGCGGGATAAATTTATAAAACCTTATTCAACGACCGTACAAATAATTGGTTTTCTATTATACGCAAAAAATAATTGTCGGTTTTTCATATAAAAAACATAAATATGAGATTTTTTTGCACATTTATTCCACAAAAAAGGTTTGCAAATTTTTCAATATAAACAATTTTGTAGAGCTCGACCAGCTCTATGAAACCATGTAAGAATGCCAAAGAAAGAATGTTATTCGATTTTTGAATAACTCATATCTTCTCAAACTCCTGATATTTACAACAACAATATCGTTTTGTAGGTTTTTATGTTATTTTTTCTGAGCATTAAACTTCGTTTTTTGTTACTGTATTTTATATTCAACAGTTTCCCGGGTGTGGGTATGGGTGTGGGATGGGTGTGGGTGGGTGTGGGTATGGTTGTGGGTGGATTTGGGGTGCGGACGGGTGCCGAGTGCGGGTGAGTGTGGGTGTGAATGTGGGTAGCAGGTTTGTGTGTGGTGTAGAGGCGTGAGTGTGGATGTGGCTGAAGCTGTGGGTGCGGGTGTGGAGTGTAATTGTTTCATTCGTTCACACCCACACTCACCCCAGAATAATGAAGAGAAAAGTTTTGGCAGTACGTGGTTACTCGATCCAATGGCGGATCCTCTCTTAATCGCTTTTGGTGCAACATAAGTATGATAAATAAATCGATGTGAAACGATCCATCTGTCTTTTTTTCCACACAATCGTATCTTTTTTCGTTCTCGGTTTTTAAAGCTAAAGTTAATAGAGTTAAAAGCAAACGAAAAGCAGCAAAATCCATAATAATAATCATTGTGTTAATATTTTCCTTAGTTGATTTTGGTAAGTGTTGTTGAAATTGATTTTTTGTATTCGAAAACCTCCATGATAAAAGTTTTTTTTGAAGAACCGCAGTGCCTGGGAATGTAGAAATTATTGCCATGGTCTCACATTTTATGATTTTTGTGTTGTCTTATTTTAGTGAAATGAGCGGAATCAGTAAAGAAAACTATTTAAGTCCAATAATTCCTCCTGATGTAAAAGTGAAAGATATACGCCTAGTGGAAGCAACAAATGAATCGTTAAAAGATATTGGCTATTTGATTACTTCTCCGGATGATGTCACCGTAGAAAACGGAAAATTTGATATAGTTCCTTGGCCTACAAAAGGATGGAGGGCACTTGATCCAAACACGGGAAATGAAGCTGGCACAACTGAAGGATCGATGGAGATTTATTGGGAAGAAGATCGTTTATATGGCAAAAACCATGCTATTGCTACTGATTCTAATCACTATTTACTTGGATATGGAAACTTTCCGTCGCAATCCGCATCATTATCTAACTCAAATATAAGCAAGCCATCGGATATTTCATCTGTTTTCATTTGGAGTTCCGATTATCATCCTGATGGTGGCCAGTTGTTCTTTCCCACCAATGGTAAACCGTTCATTTCCACTTTGGCTCCAGCTTTGGGTGATGATATTACACCTGATCATCTCACTGCTTTTTATGTAAGCGAAGGTTATGGTCTATATATTTATCCAGGTGTATGGCATAACTCTGTTTATATACACCCATCTCTTTCTCCAGTCTCATTATTTGGCCGTCAAGGTCGCGTCCATGCTCGTATATCTGTTGACTGGGTGAAAGAGTTCAACACTCTTTTACGTGTTCCTCTCATCTTTGAATCTAACAAATAGTTGGGTGTGGGTGTGGGTGTGAGTGTGGGTGTGGGTGGGGGCGTGTGAGTCTACACTGTAAAAAAGGTAGTATAATAAACGAAAAAAAGTTTCAGACTGTGCAACCAGCACGAATCCTTGGAAGCGTTCTTTACAACAGCATAAATCCCTTTACAAACCCGTTCTCATACATCCCAATTACCTTTCTGAACCGTTTTTTGAGGGATTCACTAAACTGTTTCCTATTTTCTTAAATCCTTAGAGGATCCGCTACTGGTTGCAAACATTTGTACCCTTCAGAGGCGTCTATTGCTTTAATTCCAAGCAAATAAAAAACTGAACTTTTACCGTTTCGCAGA